ATATAACAGACCTAGAAATCTCGCCCATCAGGCATCTCTAAGAGAAGAGCCAATTGTATCAGCATATGATGGTTTCATACACATGTTGATATATCACGATGTGTTGAAATAGATAGGTGGAATTTTGAAAAAAAAAATCTAGCGAAGATACTAATTAATATTTTAAACTGACTAGCGAAGCTAGCTAGCTACCAACCAAAAAAATTCGTTCCTCGTCAGGATGTGAAGCTGTGAACCCGTGGTGCTTGTGCGTTTGGTTGACCTTTTAGGCAAAGGCACCAAGCGGCCAAATTAATAAAGCACCAAACGGTCAGCATGCTGAAGAACAGCTTACAGGCAACGAAAACACACAAGCAAATAAAAATAAAAAGATGAAGCACAACTTGAGCATCGAGGCCCTTGCCGAGCTCCGTGATCCGACCGGAGAAGAAGTAGAGTCAATGAAGGAACACCACAGAGGAACTCATGCCATCGTCAACCTCCAGGAGGCCAAACTTTATCGTCATGTCATCCGTGTCAACCTCTAGAGAAAGCACTCTACTTTCTCGCCCTGGATCGAAGGGCGCCACACCGTCAGGAGGTAAATTAGCTCCCCGAACACACATAAACAGTGACAAACAATGCTGCCAAGGAGGAGAAGAGCATCGCCGCCTCATCAAAGCCGCCATGCATCCATGAACAACACCGCCGCCTGCAGCACCAACCACAAAACAAGACATAAACTGTCCGGAGAGATCGCCATCGAAGATGCGGTAAGAGCATGGCGACGGTGTCAAGGCAAGCTTGGCCTACAATCGGCGAGAGGCTGCTACCAGAGAGGGGAGCACTTCCCCTCTCGCCTAGGATCGAGGGCGTTGACACGCCGGCTAGTAAGGACTTCCAAGGCAGCAGAGCACTCGTCAACACGCACCGCAACCGCTAATAGCTACCCCCACTCACCGCCGGACTTGTCCATCACCCATGTTGTCTCAAGGCAACACCTCCATCAAGGGAACGATGTCGTGCGCCGCCACAGCCCAAATCAAGGATTATTGCTTTCAGCAGAGAAAAGCAGAGTAGGGAGGAGGATAGTGGACCTCAATGCCGCCTTCAGGAACGATAGGGGCCCGTAGCACCCTTAACGTTCTGGCCGCCACCATCAACCAAGGGTTCGCACTGGTCAAAGCCCCACCTCCGTCCACATCCACCAACCACCGGTGGGGCAAGGTGCCGAAATCCAAGGTCGGGAAGGGAGGACGAGCTGCACAGGGGGCACAGCCAACTGAGATAATTCCACATACAGTCCTTGTACTCTCCGGCGTGTAACACGATGGTCCTCGAACTCGTGAAATGCTCCACTGCAGTCCTCAAATATGAGGATACGCTCCAATACAGTCCTGACTACGTCTCACGGTACGCATAGCAGCCCAGCCTGTGTCACGCTAGCGTATGGTAGAAGCATGAGACCCAGATATCAGTAGTACAGGAGAGAGAAAGAGTAGAAAAACAAATTGCAAGAGGAATGTTTGGACCAGAGACCTGTGGTCGCTGATTGCAAAGTGCTCATAAGCTAACCACAAAACAAAACTATACTCCTGTTTTATTTCTGAGCTAGACGTTTACATAGTGCGCCTTCATGTACCTCTCCATGAGACTATCATGTTTCGTATTCTACTGGTTTTCTTTTTTATTTATTTTGAAGGTTCACAATTAATTTTATTTTTTCCCATTTGACATAATAAATGTAAGAAAATTTTACAATAACCATGGATGTAAATAAATTGTTGGTGCATTTGGAAAAAAAATGTTCAGGATGTTTTGGAAATGTTTAATGTGTAATTGTAAATGCACTTTTTAAAATGTCCATAATGCATTCAAAAAATAAACACAAACTTGAAGGAAAACAATAATAAAACCGGTAGCTGGGCATATAATTGGGTAAAAATATTACCATTTTTCTAAAACCACAATAAGCTTTATTCAAAATACAAGTTGTCAATTTTTTAGTGGTTCTGTATTTGAAAACCCTATAAGGACGCACAACAATTGTGTGTGCTTCAATGCTCGTGGTCCTGAATGAAGATACATAAAATTTTCTTACATTTCTTTTTTTAGATCCACATAAATTTTTAGGAAAAGTTGATGTTTACCTCTTCCGGGTACAAAAGAACGAAAATAGAAAAAATATTTAAAATGCACAATAACTGCAATTGTTTACATGAAAAAAATTAAATTTAAAAATAAATAGGAAAACTAAACACAAACATGGTAAAAAAAACTTAGAAAAGAATAGAATATGTATCAGGAAAATCCCCTAAAGATTTTCTTAAAATATGTACGCTACGCTATTGAAGCCTGCGCAATTTAATGTTCTTCTGAACGCGAGCAATACACAAAATTGATTTATATTTGCATTGTACATTAACCACACATGTCTGGTGGCTAAGCTCATGTTGCGCAGATGGCCTACGGTCTCCCGTTCAAACCTCACTGCGTTAGAACTATTTTTCCATTGATTTCTCCCTCAAGGCGCTGACATGTGGGACCCACATTTCTATTGTATGCTGACATGGCATCAGTCTGCATGCTGGGCGTGGCGGGAGACGTTCTCAGGACTGTATTGAAGCGTATCTTCGTATTTGAGGACCATAATGAAGCATTCCATGAGTTTGAGGACCATCTTATTACATGCCAGAGAGCACAAGGACCGTGGCTGTAATTATCTCCAGCCAACTCCAGAACTGGCGCGCATCTCCCTCACTGGAGGGTGGGGACATGTGCAGACTCGAGGGAGACGAAGGCCTAGCGTTGGGCCTCGGTGTGGATCGACGCGGGAGGCGTGGCCACCTACGCCGTGGGCAGCGGCGCCATCTTGGTTGTCCCTTCTCCCATCATCTATGGCGCCTCAATCGTCGAGCTGGTCACGTGACCGCTCTCGTGGCTGGCGAGATAGGTTGGAGATAATTGCATCTATAGACTTCGTAGTTGCAGGCGACGTCTAACTTGGTCCTGAAACTTGCGTATTGGTTAAATGCGGTCCTGACACATGAAAATACGTGATCAATACGGTTTCTGAGGTTGAAACAGCAGTACTTCCCGCGCGCTAGCCATCGCACTGGACGCTTTTTTCTGTTTTTTTCAGGGCTGTACGTTTGATATATAAGTAGTGTTGTCCTTTCCACTGTATTGTGCACAGTTTTCATTTTCGAGTACGCGCGTGCTAGGGAATTAAGCTGGCTTTTTTGCGAAAAATAGTAGTATTCGCTACTAATAAGATGCAAATGCTTTCTATCCTAAAAAAGCCACATTGTTTCGAACAATATTTTCTTTAATATTTCGTTTTACTGTTTTTTTTCTTGTCTTCCTTTTGTGTTTATTTTAATTTGTAAAAATTAAAATTTGTGAAAATTTCAAATACTGGCCACACAGTATCGAAAAAATATTAGAACTTTTCAAAAATGTTTCCGTTTCCGAATTTTTGTTAACGCATTCAAAAAATAATGTTAATGTTTTCGATGAATTTTTGTTCAACAAGTCTTTTTTCATGTATTTATCTTTTTTGTATCTCTCACATGCAAGCACGAATATTGATTAAATTTTGCACAGTTATATTACTCTACTATACATGCATATACATAAATGTTTGGAACTTTTCAGGCAGTAAAATTTCTTGCTTCTTTTTTTGAGGGTCTAAATATTTTTTTTACTTAAAAATAACAGGCACAACGTGTACTTTTTGTTTTAAAGCTCAGGCCCAGTTGTCTTCAGTATTTATTTTTTCGTGCTCATTTTTGGCGGTCTCCTATTTAGCGCGAGCGACCTGGTGATGGGTGAACTTGAAGAAGAACTGCTACGGATAGTTGTTCACGACCGTGACATCGTTTGGCAAGGCGCCGAAGGGGACCGCGAACGCCTCCTTGATCTTCTCGACGGGGATGTTGCATCGGGCACCATTGAGCCAGACCACTGCGACATTGGTGGAGAGGAACATTGCCTCTTGCTGCATCTCGGGATGGCGGACGTGATGATGGAGTCCTCCCTCGGGCGGACCGTGGGGTCGCCCCACCGTGAGACTAGTCACAATGCATAGTAACATATACTAATAACATACACATATCCCTAGACTATGTTACTACTTTCATAGTGGGTAGTAACATAAGTGTAGTAACATGCAAACCTTCATTTATTAGGTTATAGACTCATATTGCATTGGGACATGTGATGTTACAGTAACTAGCTAAGTTACTATAACTACCTCTCTCCTCATTAACTCATTGCCACATAAGCAAATTTGCTGAGTTGGACTCGATGTTACTGCTGAAGTTACTTCCATTGTGGCTAGTCTGAGGCAGTGGCTTGCTTGCGATGTGTGCCTTGGAGGTGATGTTGGGCGGCGTTGGTGGCTTGTGGAGCAGCGGCGGTGGGGCTTGACAATGGCCTTGAACCGGCGGGGGTGGGGAGCATGCAGTAGGAGTAGTGCAACCCTGAGATTTATGGCCAAAAAATCTGTAGTTGTCGCATCTCAGCGGCACTCTGCATTTTGGCTGCCCGGTGCCTCTTTTTTCGGCATGGCCGGATCGCACAAAGATATCAATGTGCTTGAACGGTCGCCGGTGTTTGCAAGGCTTGCCGAAGGAAACTGTCCGCCAGTGAGTGTTAGCATGAACTACCACAGCTACAACAAAGGATACTACCTAAGTGA